AGGTCAATAAATCAAACACACACCAGGTCAATAAATCAAACATGCGATAGGTCAATAAATCAAACACACACCAGGTCAATAAATCAAACATGCGATAGGTCAATAAATCAAACACACACCAGGTCATTAAATAAAACACACAAAAGGTCAATAAATCAAACTCACAACAGGTCAATAAATCAAACACACACCAAGTCAATAAATCAAACACACACTGAGTCTTTGAGGACTTACTGGATCTCGATCAGCGGGTGTTTGATGGACATGTTGGCGAGAGATATTCGTTGTGTCGATGCARTGGCCGCCTCCTCCCCCACCAGTCCTAGAGGACTCTTCAACACCGGCAGGAAGTCGTCTGTGCAGACAGGAAACACAAATGTTTACAATAATAGCCTACTAACATTTTAAACAAACTTTTTCTATTTTCTATTTAAAATACAATATTACATCAGATTTTGTTGCTTTTATCTTCAGATGAATCGTGTTTCTCAGGTATACTGTAATGTGTGTGTGCAGCCTGCAGGGGGCGTAATCAGTCTCTCAGTCTGATAGGAGTTCTGTTCAAACTGCTGCTCAGACATGAAGCAGAGCAACAGGTCGGGACTTGAACAAAATACCTGGAAACCAAATGAGCTGCTCAGTAATCAAAAACCACAGGCACCAACAAACATGTGATGTCTGCCCTGAAAACACAGTAAAGTCTCTGATCCAGGACCACTTCTGTTCTCCCAGCTAAACACCTGCTGGTTTATTGTCGGCCTGTTGGTATTTCCTGACATTTAGCTGCCTTGAGCCGATCTGATGTAACATCCTGTCKTTATGATGATGTCACTGACCCGGCCCATCACCCACACACAACATTATGGACCACTTTAACACACATGTTCTTACAAACCAAAAGCATCTGAAATAAAAGAGGGGTTAATGCTCCATGAAGTTTCTCCACCAACAGGAAGTGATTCTCATCTCCACAAAGTGAACAAATCACATCCTGCCTTCACGCCCATCATTACACTCATCAAAGTCTGTTTTCTGCTGTGTCCATGGAAACCACACAGTACATCAGAGATCCTGGTGAGGCTCTGTTCTGCCTCACAACAAACAGTAGTGAGAAGAGTCCTGCAGGCTCCCGGTCTGGAAGCTGCACAAGAAACCAGCTCTGCAGAAATCCTCCAATAGTTTTCAGGAAAACTACAAAGCTGAAGGTCTTCATCACTTCAGGTCATATTGTTCAGTGAATATTTGCAGATAATTATAAATATAAAATGTGTGAACACTGAGGGGTMTTTCAGTGGTACGGCCCAAACACACAGGACTCCATACATGAGGATGAAGATGATGAAGATCAGTCAGCGGTCAGCTGACAGAAGAAAAAACGTTTTCTGATTTTCTGTCAAACAACAAAAACTCAAAACTCCTCAGACTCATTTTCACTAATCGCACAAACTTCTGAGAACAGTGAGTCAGAACCGCTCCCTCACTGAGGGAAGGATTTCCCAACTCCCCCTGGGAGGAGGGGGGGGGGGAACCACACATCACACCCGTCTCTAAAACAAGACGTATGGAGATGTGAGACAAGGACACATCCGAACAAATCTGCAAGATTTTACACAATCGGGTTAAGAACAGCAAATACACAACTGAAAGTCTGATTCRATCTCAGACAAATAAACTTCCATCATCAGACCAGTTCAACTACCATCAGACCAGTTCAACAACTATCAAACCAGGTCAACTACCATCATCAAACCAGTTCAACTCCCAACATCAAAACCAGTTCAACTCCCAACATCAAAACCAGTTCAACTACCATCAGACAAGTTCAACAACTATCAAACCAGTTCAACTCCTATCATCAAACCAGTTCAACTCCCATCATCAAACCAGTTCAACTCCCATCATCAAACCAGTTCACCTACACAGTTCAACAACTATCAAACCAGTTCAACTACCATTAGACCAGTTCAACTACCATTAGACCAGTTCAAATACCATTAGACCAGTTCAACTACCATTAGACCAGTTCAACTACCATCAGACTAGTTCAACTACCATTAGACCAGTTCAACTACCATCAGACTAGTTCAACTACTATCAGACCAGTTCAACTACCATTAGACCAGTTCAACTACCATTAGACCAGTTCAACTAACATTAGACCAGATCACCTACCATTAGACCAGATCAACTACCATTAGACCAGTTCAACTAACATTAGACCAGATCAACTACCATTAGACCAGATCAACTACCATTAGACCAGTTCAACTAACATTAGACCAGATCACCATCAAACAGTTAACTTTTTTTAATTCAACTAT